TCCAGAACGAGGTATGTCTTCAACGATCTCTCGACCGTCTTTAAAAGTTTTGTACTACTCTTAGGCTTCTGTTTTTGATAAAACTGAATCACCGCTTTTCTAACATCCACAACGATTCCGCACACGAAATTTGGTTAGAAATACAAAGTTGACACAAACTCTTTGTTCGATATTTTTATCCATTGTAAAAATCTCAACGCACTACTGAGGTGTACCGACTTAAGCAGTTGCTGTAAACAAACTGGTTGACAGATATTTAACATAGTATTTAAAGACACTCCTACCAACTTATCTAAATACTTTTTTGTAAATATCATTTACCGGGGGATTTAACTACAATTTCCGGAGCCTTTTTTGTTCCAATGTATTACGGTACTGTTAAAAACTACTAAAAGCGCGTTATTCCATAACTGAATACGTCGGACCATTCAATTTTATTCCCTAGATGGTATGAGAGGGCTTTATAAAAGCCGGAGTCGAAATTGGACGATGAGCGTGGCACCGCCCACATTTTGGAGAAACTACATACCTCAGGACTTGTTCGACCGATTCTAACCGGTCATAACTATTCAAGCCCCCAGATATCTCAAATGTGAACCCCAAAGCCTCAATAAAGGCGGATGTCAAAATTGAGTTGAATCGCGTGAATATTTGCCTTAACCCCAAATACCTGAAAGAGTTTCAAACTTCTGACTTTATACCATGTATAAAGAGGATAAAGGGGATAGGCTGACTTGAAAATAAGTTCGGAAGTATAGCCCTTCCATTTCTCTGCAGCCAATAATTATACGCATGCAATCAGTTGCTACAGAGTTTTATAGTTTTGTTCACTTAACGGTTGTACGTATCACATAAAGCTAAACGAGATAGATATAGGGTTTGTACATATATGTTGATGAAACTTGGTACCCAGGTTTCTCAGTACAAAAAAAAGTTCGAGTCGCTTAGTTTGCAGCATGTGGCAAAAGTAGCAAAGATAGATAAAACCTGGTCTACCCCAACTCCCAAATACTGTAGAATAAATATGAATATGTCCGTCAGTGAGTTATATATTGTGGTATATATATATACATATATATAGAAATTATATATATATATATTCCGATCCTCTGGTTGTCGTTGAAAACCCTAAGGTTTGGTTGCACCCTAACTTTTCTCCCTAACTCTTTCTTAATAGTTTAATATAAAGTTTTGCCAACACCAGAAGGCGTCTTTGATCCTTGCAAGTTGCAAGAGTATAAAATGTTCGTTAGCCGAAAGCCTTTGATGCTAGCGCTGCGTACTTTAGTTTATTTAATAATTTGTTTATTATGTAAGCTTTAATAAAATAAAAAAATAAAATGTTCGGTTACACACGAATGTAACACTTTCTTTCTTATTATTGATGTTTTTGTCGTGTGGCTACGTATCTAAAAATGTTGGCCAGCTCTATTGAAAAGAGTTGACTTATTTTTCGTATTGGCAAATCGTTTCGTGGAAATTTATTCAACTTGATTATACGAGTATAAGTGTATGATATATATATCCGTTTATATCCATACTTCATTTATACGTCAGAGAAGCTCCGTTTAAGTATGCTTTTAAAGGCGGATCTATTTTGAACAACTGTTGTGAATATGCCTTTCATATTTTTGTATACTTGTATATACCGTGTTTTAATGAATAACTAAAGAAATGTGCACAAATTTAAAAGTGTTACTTGAATCTTACAGTAGTCTCAATACAATAATTTATTTAGAATAACCATACAAGTGTAAATAATATATTAAGGTTTCACAAACTTATTCTTTTAGTATTTAGTAATTTATTTAGGATAATTGAAAAAATTATGTTCGGAAGGCTATTATAAAAGCTTTTCAAGTAGTCCAAGGATACGGAATCATCCGAAAATACGATTGATTTCCATTCAATTCTCTAATACATGTGAACGCTGCATTTCGAGGTTTTTTTTTATTTTTTTAAGCACAGATGCTCAGAACTTTTTATTACTTTTTTCACAGTGGGAAACACTGGCAGTGAAACCACTTTTCGAATTTATTTTTGCAGAGTTAGTCGAATTTGAAGGTGTTTTCAAAAAATAATTATTCTGCTTCTGCGATCTCCTTTTTATACTCTCGCAACAAAGTTGCTAAAGAGAGTATTATA